AATTCATATAAATACTTTTATACAAATTTAATCAACATACTTCTCATAAAAATTCTGTGAAAACTGGGTAAAGTTTTACGGTAGTCTTTTGTTTTCTATCTAACCAGGCTGCTAAAAATATAAATCAGAATCTCTCTAAGCAATCTCTTGAATACTACTATATCTAACCTATTAAAAGAAATTTATTTAATTACTTTCTTATACTCTGTAGCTTCAAATTGAAATTCTTTAATGCACAATATATATCTATTTTTTAGCCACTTTTTAAAATTATATGATTATATAGCATTAAGTTTTTGAAGTATTGCATTTGTAATCTGCATATTTTCCATAATTAGAATTTTATTCTCTTTACGTAGTCAGAAAATAGTTAAATCTAATAGAATACATGATCACGTAGCATTTGTATACAAGCTCTGTGTTTAATTTTCTCTATATATTATCTAATCCATCAAAAAATCTATTTGAAGTAAAAAATCTTTGAACTTCTCTATATTAAAATAGCTGATCTATAAATCTTCACGAATTAATCCAAAAATTCAAAAAGTTAGAAAAAAATCTTGAAGAGTGCCAACAGAATGCAAAAATCAAATATGCTTACTCAATCATTTAAAAACACTATACAACAGGGTGAAACCTGCTATAAATTCTGGCTATATCTGCTATGATAGTCAAAGCAGGTTTTATTAGAATTTTAATGCTATAATCTAAAACAATAACTTTATCATTATTATTTTTTTAAAGCCTTTAATAAATATGACTAATTGAGATTTTATAGGTCAATTATTCTATAGTGATAAATAAAGATTGATAGAAGTAGATGCATGATATCGATTTTGTCCTTGTGATAGAAGCCTATTTGATTTAGTTTAAAAATAAAATAATAGAATTCATTACAAAGAAAGTAATAAGGACAAAATAGATGGGACCACATCATAGACCATATGAAAAAGTGTGAAAATTCAAAGTTTCTTGACCCTTACTTTTATGCAAAAAAGAATAGTTAGTATAGTAAATCAAATAAATGAATATTCAAAGCCCCAAATACTCAATTAGTAAATATATAGTAATTTTATGAATATGTGCTATAAACAAGCATATAAATTAATAAAAATTTATAGTTTTTTAGCTACGTATAAATATTCTCTTAGACTTGACAAAAGTTAATTTTTTTATAACAAAGTCTATTGTTTTTTATAAAATTTAAAAAATGACTTCACAAAGTTTGGATCTTTATTCTTTTACAAGCACTAGTACTAGTAATACTAATACTAGTTTTTTAGAAAATACTTCTAATATACTTAGTGAAAATAAACAAGAATTTAGTAAAACAAATGAATTAAGTCAATCTCTTAATAAAAAATGCAAACATACTAGTAGTAAAAAACAAGATAATATTTGAAAATATGTTAATAAAGATACTAGTTTAGGA